TGATCCAACACCAAGCTGGTTTAGAGTAGAATGAGGTCAGGATTGAATCTGGCCCACTTTTTGGGTGATTGCCAAACACACCCTTTAGTTGCTCCTGAGTAAGCTATTTATATTGCTGATTTCATTATTTAGTATTGTCTTGATACAAAAATTAACACAATGAAGGGGTTTGTTGTGAAACATTGAAAGTTCGTGGAGGTGCGGTGTAATTTACCCCCTATTAAAACAACGAAGGGAGATCTTGATTCAGCTTTATCTTAGTCGCACATGACCAAAAAGAGATACCCTCTGTCCTTTTCTTGTTCTAATAATAATACCCAACTTAATAGATAGAAAAATAGCACAAGTTCACTAGAAAACAGGCACACCCTCTGCCATACCTCCGGTCACACCTCTTCTCCCTCTATAGTGCAGGGGGCCCCACTTGAGATTTTTTTTAAAAATCTCATGTGAGGCTCCCTGCACTGTAGAGGGAGAGGGGGTGTGACCGGAGGTGTGGCAGAGGGTGTGCCTGTAGTGTTTTTCTTAAATTAAAGAACGAAAATTGCAACTGACTACGGTTTCTGTAGCAATGCAATGCAATCTTCGTCATGAACTCACACGGAACTATTTCCCCCTCTTCAGTGACAGAGACTTCACGGTTCACCCACATCATCGTACCAAAACCCAATCCTCATCCTCCTCTCACCTCCCTCCGTCTCTCTCGCGCACGAACAAACAAGCAATTAAGCCAAAAAAAAAAACCCCACACCTTCCCCTTTTCCTAAAGAGAAAGGTGAAAGTTTAATTCTCAAGACCCCAAAATTTGGGGCGTCTCGTCACCAAATCTTCTCAACTTTAAACTTTTCTCGGATCTTTACGTATAGTTGGCAAATAGCTAGAAAGTCTCACCAAAGCTCAGGAGACCTTTTGAGAATAAAAAATAAATAAAAAAACCAGGGATTCTGCAATAATACCCCCAAAGTTCAGAGGGGTTTTTTGTGAAATTCACCTAAATTAAAAGCAATCCTTATTCCATTATTAGGTGAAGGGCTGAGAGGGGACAGAGATCACCAAGCTCATGCCCCCGCAGCATAAGCGTGCTCGCAAGTCAAAACAAGAAACACGGCAATGGACAACACTCAATTCCTCTACAGTCCCCACCCCAGCAGTAAAAAAAAATTTAAAAATTAAAAAAAAAAGTAAATAATAGCAAGAGAAAAAGTGAGGAAAACAAAGGAGGAGGCAAGAAAAAAAAAAAGGGCCGCTTGCCCTTGTGAGGACCTCTCGCGTTTGTTTGTTAGTGATCACAATGATGACAGCAGTAGAAACAAATAGAATAAATAAACCAAAGTTTTTTAAAAAGAGTAAAAACAAACCGAGCTCAGCTTTATGATCCCTTTATAAGCAGGGGAATAATAGACTGCACTTGCCAGTCACATGAACCAAAAAACATAAGCTTTATTTGCGGTAAGTACTTCAACCAAAAAGCGAGCATTCTGTTGTAGATAGATAGATACATATACACTTAATTTCAAATATTACGTTCTTGTCCTCTTTACTCGTCAGTCTATAATAGCCAGTTGCATGAGCGAGTATGATTGGCTGCACCGCAACATTATTAGCATGTGTACTTCACTCATGGCTATGATTATGATGTGCGCATCTACTCTCCTGAGATGTAGTTTTTAATTAAACCAGACGTTAATACGGTTAATTTGTGGAAATTAATTTGGTCAAGGTCTCAATAATTGAGCAAGAGTGTGAGCAAAGATTCGGTTGTGTTCTTGTAAACAGATGAGTGATCTTGAGAGAGAGAGAGAGAGAGAGAGAGATCCAAAGGTAGATCCTTGAAAATGCTACTTTTGTTGGCAGATTAGAAAAGCTTTCTTCACCTTTTTATTGGCCTTTTTGGGTTAGTTAATTTAACAAATTAGCTCGTTCTAACAGTAGGTTTGACCTATAATTATGTCCACCCTTTGTGAAGGAATTGAACGAACCGGTGCTCATTTCAAAGTAAACTTTAGGGCGTATTTTACTTAAAAAACTTTATAGGGTTTAATTAGTTTATTAGCCCTCATCCTATAGGCTTCAACAGGGCTACGTAGGCAGCCAAGTCAGACGACACGTGGACAGGTCGATGTAATAAATGGCCATAAAGCGTTTCCTTGCGTGCATTAATTATGCCAGTTGCTGTACACACCAACAAACAACTCGCTCGAATGCTCATCATTTTGGAATCATTTCCCCTAAAACTCAGAAAAACCGGACGAGCTAAGGAAAAGATTGAGCAAGATATGTACATCGATCATAAATGCGAGAAACATGTCATTTCCAAAGACAAAATTTTAAAAGATAAAAAAATAAAAATAAAAAAAATTAGCATAGCAAAATGAAAGGGAAAACAAAAAAAGGATCAGCCTAGCTAGCTTAAAACCGTAATGATCATCTCCTATACATCTAGCTTTTTAATCTTCCCCTATCTGATACCTATCTTGACCACTTTTCTCTATGTACTAGTATGATTGAAAACTAAACACAATGATGGGATTAGCAAGATTAATTAAGAGCATTAAACTAACAAGGAAAAAGGAGAGAAATTGAGGGGCTGACCTCCATTGAGCCAAAGAACCAAGGGTTTTCTGTTGGAGTGAGAAGTCGCCTCAGTGAGCCAGTAGAAAAGAGCCCTCCCGTGCTTCTTGTTCACCGTAACATAGCCTGAGAATTGAGCAAAGCTCACCTCCGGCTGGCCCGGCAACGAGACGATCCGGTCCTCGGTTTTTTTTTTTTTTTTTTTTGGCTCAATTGATGGGTTTTTAGACCTAATGTTGTTGCAAGTTACAGCTGGTTGGGTGCAGCTATGTGGACCATTTTTGTAGACGAGGAGACAGTAATATGTGTGTGTAGAGTAGAATAGAATAAGATGTAGAATTGTAATTTTGTAATTCTCGGTGATAGGTAAGAGAAGGGTGGCTAACCTACAATGCCATTAATATTTTCTTCAGAGATGGATTGGGGTTGGGTGCCAAGGAAAAGAGGCCCATAAATGCAATGCAACAGTCTCT